CCTCTCGAATCACATGTTGTAGGATGATGGCAGATAAGCGACCGACTGAGGCAATTGCAATCGGGGCCATGTTGTGACTTGGGCGCTTGTGTTGGTGTGCTGTTGGTGGCTGCATCGACTCGCCCCGTGACGGACGTGGCGACGAGGCGAGACAGCGGGAAAGCGAGACAGCGCGAGAGGGGCAGAGTGAGGACGGAGACCGGGGCGAAGAGTGCGCCAATCAGAGAGCTCCCAAATCACCAGCAGGCCAAGCACACATCTCGCGTCCAGCCAATCAGAGCGAGCCAGGCTGTCTGGTGGTCTCGCTCTCTCGCTGCGACACCCACCCCCAGTCCCACTGATGGTCTCCCTGCTGCAGCCCTCAAATTTATCCAAATGTCCCAGTCAGGCCTAGCATACCTTTTATTCGTCTGATCAGGCAACTTGCATGTTTTTTTCTCCGCAGGTGTGCCTTTCTCCTGCGAGCCCGTCGATTGGTCCTGCTCTCACACACACAAGCACACACACACACACACTCGCAGGCGTGCACTTGTGCGCACAGTGCGTGTGTGCGTGAGTGTCCACTTGTGCACTGACCGTCCTTGATGCAGTCGCGACAGCCAGCGGCTCCCTCGGGCCGGCATACTCGTCCATCCAAAACGGACTAATTATAAACTCACACAGACCTCTCGTCCTGATTTGTCCCCCCAACACGCTTTTTTCATACCCTTTCCCTCCCTCCCTGTCTCTTTCTCTCTCTTTATCTCTCTCTCTATTTCTTTCTTTTGATTTCTCTCTCGTCTGCCTCACCGCCTTCGCTCCGGCCGGTCGGCCTAATAGGCCCAATCCTGATTCCGCTGTACGGAGCAGGCAAAATCAGCTCCGTGCTCCGGCTTTAATCGGGACCAGTCTTGGACCCGTCTCTCTCTGTCTATATATATATGTGTGTGTGTGTGTGTGTGTGTGTTCGCAAAGGACGGACGAACGGACGCAGTGACTTAGTTAGTGAGTGAGTGAGGCGAGAGAGCATTTTATCATGTTCCTCCTGCTCGTCCCCCTCTTCCCTCTGCTCTATCTCTCTCTCTCTCTTTTATACGTTAATTCGGCCTTGTGTATGCATGCACACGCTCACAACCAATGCGCACAACATAATTAACCCTAATTCAACCGGATAGACGTGCTGCTGTCTGCCCTATTACGCGTAGCCTCCTACCGCTGCTGTCATTCTCTCACAGCCCATCTCTCACCTGTGCATTATAGTCGTCTCGTCGATACATATCACACACACACACACACACACACACATACATACATACACACACGCACGACTGGCTGATACAGCAGCTCGGCAAACCGGCGTAGAGGGGTACGCGCGGCTGGGCAATGAAATATTCAGCGGGGCGCAGGGCGCTTAATCAAAATCTTCTCTCCCACTTCGCGGGCCGATCAGTAGGCCTCGTCTTCGTCGGTACATTGGCATTCGCTTCGCTGTGGCCTGTGCTCGCGCGCTTGTGTGTCGACGTCGCGTGAGAAAGCCGATCTCTGCTCACCCGTCGCCAGCCGGTTCCTGCTGTCACATTTTCCGCCGCCGTCGTCGTCGTCGTCCTGCCTCGACTGGCGCCAACTTGGCCAACTCCTTTTACATTCAGGCTCCGGTTTGCGCAATCTCTTCGTCCTTCGCCTCGCGGCCAGCCTCAACGGCTCGCCAACCGGCCGACGAGGCGCCCTCGCAACCGGTCCGGATATATGCCCTACCTTCGCCCAGTCGCCATCACTACCACCAATCAGTCTGAGATGATGCCGTCTCGCGACTAACGGACTCCCGGCGACTCGATCCAACGACCATCGACACTTTGCTAACCGGCCTTTCGAGCACGGGTGAGTTTAGCTTGCACTTTGTAGAACGCGGTTCGTCAATCTTATATTGGTATCTAGTCTGCGTCGGCATGACAACAAGAGAACTCGACTCCTGATCGGCCAGAAGGTGAGTCCGGCCGTAAATCGGCTGAATTGCCGACAGAATCAGGCCGAAGGAGGGATGGCGATTGTCATTTCGTTCTCCACTTCTGTACCTCTGACGTCACTCAGGTTGCAACGACTCCGACGTCAGTGCCTCTAATGACGGCAAGCAAACACTCGGGCAGACCTTATGTAGATGCTGCACATGCGAATGTGTGTGTGTTTGTAGGTATGCTTCCGTAAAGAATGTTTCCAAGTTCCTGGTGACATAACTTTATTCTTATTTTACCAATTCAGGCGGATAGGAATCACAAATTGACCTTCCATAAGTGAAAAGGAGAAGTGTTTTTCACTTGAGACTGTTGCGTTGCTACCTCACAAGACAACAACAACAACATCATCAATTTCACCAATTCGGTTACACAAGACAGCAGCCACAACTGTAAAATGACCTGTCTCCATCCTCAGAGCTGACGTTGAACAGTTGAAACAAACTGAAAAGTAAAACAGCCCAAATTTTCACTTGTCTTCTCACAGCGTCATCGTGACCTTCAGGTTATACTGGAAAGTTGGGCGAACATGATGCGTGGTTTGGCCTCATCGGAAACCCATAGCGGATTGTGAGTGTCGATTGTGCAAAAAAAAGATGTCGCATCCTCCTGACGTCCGGCTTGTTTTTTAGTTTATTCGTGAATTTCGATAAATACTAGTTCCTGATCCTGACGACATCTGTCGCAACAATTGTGGGGCAGTCGCAACTGATCAACTGAAGGCTACAGCAACCCGACTCAGCGTACGTATTTGTGTGTGTGTGTGTGGAGGGGGG